TCCTGGATCTACAAGGAACTGAAACGTACTGAAAAAAAGAAAACAAACAACCCCATTATAAAATGGGCAAAAGATATGAACAGACACTTCACAAAAGAAGACATTCGAGCAGCCAACAAACACATGAAGAAATGTTCAACCTCACTAATCATCAGGGAGATGCAAATCAAAACCACACTGAGATACCACCTAACTCCAGTCAGAATGGCAATTATCAACAACTCAAAAAATAACAGCTGCTGGAGAGGGTGTGGTGAAAAGGGAACACTTCTACACTGTTGGTGGGAGTGTAAACTAGTACAGCCTCTGTGGAAAGCAGTGTGGCGATTCCTAAAAACTCTAAAAATCGACCTTCCATATGACCCCCCTATTCTCCTACTGGGAATATACCCTGAAGAACTCAAATCACTCTATAAAAAAGATACCTGCACACGTATGTTTATCGCAGCGTTGTTCACAATAGCAAGAACCTGGAACCAACCATGCTGCCCATCAAAAGAGGACTGGATTAAAAAAATGTGGTACATATACACGATGGAATACTATGCAGCCATAAAAAACAACAAAATCATTAATTTCACAGCAACCTGGATGGAACTAGAGTCTATAATACTGAGTGACCTCTCACAGAAACAAAGATCTGAGTATCACATGTTCTCACTCATATAATGGACCTTGAACATCCAATGTAATACTATAAGAAAATGACTGACAGTACTGGGAAACTATGGGGGGGCGATGGGATTATCAGTAGCAAATATCTATCTGGGGATGGGAAAACACCTCTTATCAACAGGGTGCCTGAATGAAACGTAATTGTACACCTAACCCTTAACTGTACCCCACAAAACCATAATAAAAAGTATTGATTAATAAAAAGAAAAGAAAAGGAAAAAAAGTGACTACATAAGGGCATGGATACCAGGATAAAATATTCATTGCAGGTCGTTGTCTACCATGGAAATACTTACTAGAGGCATGTAGGCTTATGAGAAGTTCCGTCTCTCTCTCTCTCTCTCTCTCTCTCTCTCTCTGTCTCTCTCTTTTTCTCTCTCTAGTTGGGCTCTCACTCTGTCACCCAGGCTGGAGCACAGTAGCGTGATCACGGCTCAATGAAGCCTTGACCTCCTGCCTCAGACTCCTGATTACTGGGACTACAAGTGCATGCCACCATGCCTGGCTAATTTCTTTATTTTTTATAGAGACCAGGTCTTGCTATGTTACCTAAGCTGGTGTCGAACTCCTGGGCTCAGTAATCCTCCTGCCTTGGCCTCCCAAGGTGGTGTGTTTACAGGCACGAACCATTGTGCCCGGTCTTCTTATGCTTAAGAACTACTCAAAGATATTTTCTTGCTTTCCCTATTCAATATGGTATACAAATATGAAGCATGGATTTGTTTTAGCCATTTTTGCACAATGATGAAAGCAAAGCTAAGGATAAATTCATCTAACAGAGTTGACTTTAACAAATTAAGCAATCACAGCAAACCAGAGCTAGACCACAGAATTAAGTCACTCTTAAATTTGTCATAATTCTGGACTTTCAAATAAGTTAGTTAAAATCATTCTACCAATACAGCAAGCGAATTCCATCATTGCATATTTAACATGTAAAATGTCTGTTGACAAACTGTCATTATGAAACAAGCCATAATAAGAACTATGATAGAAATATAAAAACATTTAAAAATATAATGAACTGAAAAAAAGAACTTAAATGTCAATGGTATCTGCTTTAGAAAGTAAATTAGTGATGCTGTTAGGAAGAACACTTACATATAAAGTTAATATATAATATATAGCGTTGGCAGCAAACCCTTTTAGAGACAGGATATAAAAGAACCTCTTTTGCATCCAGCAGAAACTATGTATCCCAAAGATCAGTATTTGCAAAATCTAGCCCATCTGGACATACTGTTGTTCATGTTGAAAGTTTGGCTGAGAACTGTCACATAAGCAGTATGACAGAATCAAGTAACTTAGGACTTTTTTTTTACTGTAGTTGATGCAAGGACCCACATACACACACATTAAAAACAAAAATATCCAGTTGAAGACACTGATGAGAATTTTAATATGATCTAAGTATGTTTGAATATGGTGCAAATGATGAGAAAAACATTAGAAAAATGACTTATTTTTATATATTGAAGAGATCTTGAAAAGTTTGATGCATCAATGATATAAAGTATTTTAAAAGCTTAGTTTAAATGAGTAGTAGAAGAGAAGATTATCTAGCAAAAAGCTATAGCAAATATCACAAAGGTGGACATTGAAAAGCATATTCAAAAACAAAGATGTCCACTATTATGACTACTGTTCAATATGATATTAGAAGTTTCAACCAATGCAATACGAAATAAGTGGAACAATGGCTGGAATAGAAGACAAATTATTTGCAGATAATACAGTTGTTTACATAGAAAATAAAAAATAATCAAAAGAAAACTTACTAGAATAATGAATACGTTAAGCAGGGTTTCTGGATAGAACAACATACAAAAATCAGTATACTAGCAATAATCAATTGGAAAAATATAACTGCAAAAATTTCATCAAAATAGTAACAAAAACTGTAAAACATCTAGAAACAAAGGTGTGATAACTTTACAGAGAAAATTATAATATAGAAAAATATTTTAAACCACTTAAATAAATAGAGAATGACACTGTTTATTGATGGGAACACTACATATTTAAAGTTATTCATTCTGTCCAAATTAATAAATTTAATGGATCTGAATCTATTAAATAAATATGAATTATACAACTAGACAAACTAATTCTAAAATTCAAACAAAATAGTAAAGATTAAAGAATGGCCTAGACAATTCTGAAAAAAATAAAACAAGAAGGCAGACCATACTTTGGAAGTATCAGAGCTTATTATAAAGATATAATAATTAAAACAGAGTGGCATTGGTGTGCAGACAAATGGAATAGAATAGTGAGCTCAAAAACAGATCCATTGCAAAAACCTACAAAGCCTCAAATATTTATTGTGTAGTTCTTTAGAAAAAAAGTTTGCTATGCTTAATTTAATTACTAAGAACTCTAATCTTGATCATATTTGGTATGAGCATTAGTAGCAAATACTGTATGAGCATTAGTAGCAAATACCCATGTTAGCTCATGAAACTTCTGTATGAGGTCATGAAACGTAACCATGCCACAGTCTAATAATTTCTATGGAAGTTTTCTCCATAAGACATTAGAGGGAAATGGAAACAAGTCAAAAGAATTTTCATTAGGTAATAATACTGCCTCATGTAAAACTCTGCCCTGAGAAACCCAGATTGAAATATCTCAAGTTTAAGCTGGTTGCTGTGGTCTGAATGTATACCCAAAGTCCTATGTTGAAACCTAAAAAACAATGTGATGGCATTGGAAGATGGGCCCTTTGGGAGGTAATTAAATCATGAGGATGGAGTCCTTATGAATAGGATTAGTTCCCTTAAAAAGGAGACCCCAGAGAACTATCTTGCACCTTCCACCTTGTGAGGACACAGCTAGAAGGCACCATCTGTGAACCAGGCACACCAAATCTGTTAGCACCTTGATTTTGGACTTGTGAGAAATACATTTCTATTGTTTATTAGCCACTCAGTTTATGGTATTTTGTTATTGACACCGAAAGGAACTAAGACAATAGCATAGATAAAAATATACCTAAAAAGACGAGGCATTCAATAAAATTTAAAATTACACATTTTGCCACAAATTTGAATGTTTATTACTGAATAAGTCCAGGCATCGAATTCCCTGGCCTGGTTAGGGGAGTTGTGAAGGAATTTTCCCATATGGTTTTCTTCTTTTAAGGATCCCAGAATGGAGGTGGTTGCCCATGTTTTGTCTCCTATAGGGAAGATACAAATACCAGTGGTTCTACAACTGTACAAAGTACCAGTTTTAACTCTAAGATCTGCAAAAATCATTTTAGGAAGGGAAATTCTTCCTGAAGCAATTGAGACCATTTCTATCTGAACTTGAATTGTCTATATATCATACATATCCAAGAACGACATACAGTGACATTCAGTGGGACCACAGTGAGAATTATGGCTTTGCAACTAGACTAGTTGTTAATGAATATTGATGATAGCCATCTAAACCCTGTAAGAGATGAAGGTAGAAAATTTACAGAAAATTTTATAAATGTGCAAAGGTCAATTTTACAGAATTACTGGACATTGAACCTATAATCCTCTTTAGTCATAAATATAGCTCCACTTTCTGGATTATAAAACAAATTTCCCTTGAGTAGATTCAAGCACATGGAGTGAAATTTTCAACTCATCTAAAACTTGTCTTTGGTATTGCTATAAGAAAGACTTCGTTTGTCATAAAATGTCACAGATTTTTCTCCCACTTTCAAAAAAACTGTTATCAAGAATAGACAACTGCTTGTACTCAAACTTTGAAAATATAATACGAAACATCTTAAGATTAATGTAAAAATCTGATGCTGAATGCATGTAATGACCCATAATTAGATAACACCCAACTTGGAAAGAAGAACAGAAAAGTACTTTTTACTAGGGAAATTGTAATGAGATGTTGCCATTATTTAGGCAGCATACTGGTAGTACTTTGCAAACATAAAATTACAGCTTTACAAAAATCCTTTAAATACCCTAATTATATGTACTTAAAGTCCTTAATTTAAAAAAAAAAAACAGCTCCAACACAATGCAAGTTTACACACAGGACAAAATTCCTTGCAAAAAATAATCACTAAAATAATAAATAGTTGCAGAATATATTTTTACACTGACTTTTTAAAATGGAAATTTATAATAAAATAAAAAGCATAAAGTAGAAGCTATTAATTATGCTGTGATGGTAAATACTGGATTTGGGTTGCTATTTTAATGGTATTTATTCTGCATATCTATGAGGTTCCATATTGATTTCTCTTCCCTATTCTTCCTATTTAGAATTTCTAAGAGTGAGCAGAATATCATTTCTTTAACTACTGAATGATCATCCAGAAGCAAAAGTATGCACAGGAAGATAATTTTTATTATATTTTAACTAGAAACAGAGCAGATAGCAAGTTCACGAGGTATGAATTGATTATTTTTTAAAAATCAGGCTTCGACAACAATAATCAAAAATAAGTCTTCACTGCACATTTATTTTGGTCACTATTATAATCTTTAAGGGCACAAAAGCCAGCAGCAATAAAGTAACATAAAGATAATGATTGAGACTTTTTGATGTGCCAAAAATGTGGATTACTGTATTGAACTTTATCATTTTTTAAAATATTTTTTCTTAAACATCGAACAATTTTTATTATTCAGCAAAACATCAAACATGCACATAGTATTCCTACAAGAAATACTGCCTTAATATTGTCAATATCAATACTAAGCTTTTTCCCCCCAAATTCAATGATTTATGGTTCCACTATATGTATTAGTGGTAATATGCAAAACTGATTTTGTTTTCATGGTTAAGCAGCAGATTGACTTTGCATTTGGTGGCCAGCTGTGTACCCTAATTTTTCATCTTTTATTTTCTTAATAAATTTAATTGCATTTTATAAGCCCTGAGATATTAGATAACCTGCTAATGATTGTACACTTTTAGTCTATACTTTATTCCACTGAATTTGAACCCCACATAAGTTTTTAAAATTATTTACAGATGGTTGAAACTAAAGCAATAATAAAATGTACTACTTGTATAAGTAAGACTGGTAATAAGGCTTTAACTAAGAGTTGCACATTTTATGCATTTTAACTTGCTAAAAGCAACTCTTAAAATTGCATCTATAATTCTGTCAGCAATAGGTGCTTTTCATTTTGCTTATGTCTTTATGTGTAACCGTAGTCACTATTTCTTCCTTTGTAAAACAACTACTTTTTCCCTCTCCATACAGAAATGCTAGTTTTCCAACTGAACAGTTGTGAAAAGGAACTTAGCATTTGAACAGCACATTGATAACTGCAGTGCTTAGCAGAGAAATATGCTCATAATAGGCATTCAATAAATGTTTGTTCCACATGGAATGAGTGAATTATAAGGCAGCTGTTTGAGTCATATACTGTTCATCATATACTGTAACTAATTTTGCTTAACTAGGAAATTCAGGTTACCAGATTTAATTCATTCTCAAGTGTAAATCCAAAAATTTGAAATAAAAAATATTTACTTACCAATTATCAGAAAAAGTAAACAAGTTGAGCATAGTTGTCATTGTATTATTAGTTGACAGAAAAATAAAAGAACAGAGTTACTTTCCACTAACTATCATGTACAACTAAGTGAAAGGAAGAAATAAAAACTGAAAGGTGTTAACTACTCATATCATTTTATCCACATTTATTCTTGCAGCTTTTTGTTCATATGCTTATCCCTGTTAACTTCTCTAGCTGGAAGATAATTTTATTATGTGAATGGATTTCCCCATCAACTTAGGTACATAATGTTAATGAAAAGCTGGCGTAAATAGAAGATTATATTTTCATGTCATGCCATATTTCTGCATATATTTTTGCTAACATTCAATTTTTCTTATTTAAATGATGCTGTATAGAATATGAGATAATCTGTCAAATCACTATGAGATTGCGTGCTTATAATATTCAGTATTTGTTGATAGCTTTAAAGCATACTCTACATTTGTCATCTAGCACATTAATAAGTAACTATTACTCTTTTTTGACAGGATATAATGACACATTCTTAAGTTAATGGCTTTAGCCCATTTTTAGTCAGTTACAGAACAATAGCAATGGCGAAAACGTTGACAATACAGTTCATGGTCCGGTTCTCCCATCTTACGGTACAAGTTCCTGAAAACACACACACACACAAAAAAAACACTTTGAAATATCAGCAAAACATCACAATTTCCGAAGAATATTTATATACATTTTCCACAGGTTTAGAACCTTACTTATGTCAACCTGCTAAATCTTTACATTTCATATTGGTCTAAAGGTAGACTAGTTACTAGGTAAAAAGCATTTCTGTTGATGTTGTCTTTTCAGAATTTAACTAGAACTAAATAAGCATTTGATTAAAAGTACACTGTTTTGACTTTGCTAAAAGTTGGATTTTGTGTGAATCAGCTTAAGGTCTCTTACCATCAGATGTGGTATCCCAATAGCACGAGCTGGCTGTGTGAAAGCCATATGCACTCTTCTGGACCACTGCACAGGTCACTACAAATAAAGTCACAGAATGAGGACACTTAAAAAGGGGAAGAGAGCCAAGGTCAAAGTCTGTAAGTATAGAGTTCTAAAAGCTGTAAAAAGATAACATAAAACAAAGCATTCAGCAAATACATCAAAAAAAGTCTCATCTTGGTTACCTAGCATTATAATTTTGATCCCACTACAACCAGTTGGTTTGTTGACCATTGCCATAACCATTATGTTCCAGGGAAAAAAATCTCAGTCATTGTATGCTTTGTACCATGGGCAGAATTCAGACACAGAAATACAGGAAATATTCCACTTTACAAACTATTCTTGTGTGGAATTTCAGGGTCTAACAGGTAAAGAGCCATGGGACTACTGAAAGAAAGACAGTTGGGCTGAGCGGGTCTCAGTGGAAAGAGAACGAATGAAAATTCAAAGGATGGAATGATGCTATCAAAGACAAGTAGCTCAAACTGCTTTTGAATAGTGAAACATTTTCATCTTATAGGTATTATTATATATTATCTTTGAATGAGTAAGTCAGAAGTCCTTCATACCCCATTAGCATCCAACTTAAATGTCTGTCATTGATACACATTTTCAAAATTCAGAGAAAATCACAAGGACAAAGCCAGTGAACTGGTGAGGAAGGACACGGATACTTACCAATATATTTATAAGCTTTTCCCAACTTAACCAAATGTGTTAAAGATTGCTCCACTATGCTTGCAGTCCACTGGTTGATGTTGTTCTGATTATAATCTTCACCACCTAAGACCCCATCTACACACTAAAAGGGCAGAGGACAGTTAAATTAGTCAAAAATAACAAACTTTACACAAATTGCAGCGAACATTTATTCAAAATGTAAAATACATTTATAACTCAATAAAGCATCTTAGAAAACAGACATCTTTTCAATACTGATTATGCACTGTCTCTAATTGCTTAAGAGTTTCAAAGAGTTCCCGTGTGTATTATCTCACTCTTTGAGATACTATGGGCCACATAAAGATAAACCTGCCTGGCTTCTGTGTGGAGAAATTAACAATCTAGAAGAGAAGCTAATAAAACAATTCTAATATCTATAACACAAGGAAGACTAATCGTAGGTGATAACTTATGTCAGAAAAGGATTATGGTAGAGGAATAAAAAGGTGATATCAATTAATAAAAGAGTGACTTTGAAATAGGATTTGAACTAGGGCTCAGATGTTAGAAGCAAAGAATGGAACTAATTTAAAAACATAATTCTCTTGCATACTAATTATATTCTTTCATAAATATGTAATTGCTTAGTTATAAAACAACTAGCACACCTGCCACTGAAAGTAAATGAGAAAGCTCTAGAAAGAAAAAGTCAAATAATTTCCCATAGTGCTTACTTGTATCTACTTCTGACACCTGATTAAAAGCACTGGGTTTAGTGCCACAATACAATACTAGGTTTTCAGGCCTGCTCTGCTACCTACCCCCTGTGTGACCTTTAGCAAGTGACTTAAACCTTTCTACACCCCTAATTTCCTAATCCTTGGAGATAACAGCATCATCTTATTAGGTTTGAATGCTAAGTACACAAACATAGTGACTAGCACAGAGTAAGCACACTAATAATGTTAATTACTGTTACCATTATTGCTGCTGTTATTTTATATGCAAGTGATAAAGCCTAGATAAATAAAGCCTTCATCCCATTTTTAGAATCTGCTTAATCACACAACCTTTTTCCCACCATTTTCTTTTCTTTTCTTTTCTTTTTATTTTGAGTTGGAGTCTCACTCTGTCGCCCAGACTGGAGTGCAGTGGCCACTCCCGGCCACCGCAGCCTCGACCTGCTGGACTCTGGCGATCCTTCCGCCTCAGCCTTCCAAGTAGCTGGAACTACAGGCGCACGCTACCACAACCCGGCTAATTTTTTGATTTATTGTAGAAATGAGGTCTCACCAAGTTGCCCAGGTGGGTCTTGAACCCCGCGGGCTCGGGCAATCCACTCACCTCAGCCTCCCCAGGCACAGGATTACAGGCTGAGCCACCGAGCCCAGCTTTTCCCACCATTTTCATTTGAGAGAGCCACTCTCCCAAATGTGTTGGAGTTGGCTTTTCGTTCCTCCTTTCCTCTTTACTCAGACCAGTGAAAGGCAACAGCCTTGGTAAGTGTTTCCTTCCGTTGACTCAAATTTTCCCTTGAATGCCTCTTCCAAGGTTTGAACAGAATGGGAGTTAGCAAAACAAGCTACAATCACCAACCTAGTTTTTTTCAATAACAAAGGTGGTATTTTGTTCTCCGTTTGGTGATCATTTTGTCTTTTTATTTGGTTCAGAGCTTGGGTAATGAAGAAGGCACCTATTTGAAGGGTCCCGCAAAGACCTCAGCATTCTTTCTTTTTCCATCAACCAAGGACAGTCTTTCTTGACTTTCAACTTTGCAAAATGAGATTGTTATCACTCCTACTCTTCTCATTACCTCTGCCCTCTGTACTACTTCCCAATTTCCTTCATTTGTGCTTTTATATTTGTCGAGGTATTACAAACATTTGCATTCTGTTTTTAATAATATAATATGCCTGGGCTGCATAGATCTAATACATGATTCTGAACTATTAAAATATGGCAAGATATTCAGGTGCCTGTCTGGCCCTCTCAGAAACCTTGAGTTAATCCTAGCTGTGTAAGGCCAGAGAGCATTCAGGCATGTGAGTCACTGTCTCAGGATAGACTGATGACTGGAACAATACCCTGAGGGTAGAGCCGATCTAGCTCAGACTAAACACAGTCAGGGCCTGCTAAGACAAAAGCCCCAACAGCCAGACCCATAATACAAGCCTGCCTTCTGGGTCAGCTCAGTCTTTTCTAGGATCTGGCAGAGTTAAAGATGACTCAGGACTATTAAATTGTTCAAAAATACCTTACCCCCATTGTAGTCCACATGTGATACCACTAGAATAATGAAAGTTTCACTGCCAGAATTAATTCCCAAATTTGCCTAACTAGAGGACCAGATTTCATGCTCCAAATATTTTTCTTAAGATTTTGATTTGTCATCATCAAAGATGTTGAGTGATTATTTCTCCAATTATATTGGGCAAACAAAAGTACCAAATGTTCAAAGGCAGACATTTTTAAAAATTGGTTTGACATAACATGTATATTATATTATACATATATGTTACATTATAAACGGAATATATATGTGCAATATACAGACACATAAGCACATACTTTTATAACATTTACATTTAAAACAACGTTTGGCCTATTGAAATAAAAATTATATTATTCAAATGACAGGGCATCAGTTTTAGAAACCAGCAAGCCACTTTTCTACACTAAGAAAGTCCTTAAGCATCTCTTTCAGAGTAAGCCCCAAGATGCCTGAAAGTATGCAATAAACCATAGAAGCACCCTTGCAAAGTGTTAGTGGATAAATATTTAAAATCTTGTTGTTTTAACGTCAAAGTTTCTAACTTTGTGCTAAAGGTCAAGATATAGCTCCTTAAAATTTCCATCAACACAACAAGCTTCAAGATAAAACAAAATATATAACAAAAAAAAATGTATAACTCACCTCTTTGACGATATTGTGGGCTTCATCAGCATTGAAGCCAACCTGAAAGGATAACCAAAGAGAAAGCTGCTTTTAACACAGACTCTTTTATTTGTAGATACGACGGTACACAGAGTAGCTGGCCTAGACAGGGGTTAGTGACAGGAGACCACAGCGATAAGCATCAGAAGTACCGAGGGGAGCAATCCGACCCTGAACACGTGAAAATACAGACTGCTTTCCCTACCTACCACCTGGAGATTCTGATTTGTCAGTTCTGGGGCATAGTCTGGGCAACTACATCTTTTCAAAAGATGCTTTATACTAGTGATTCTGATGAACATCCTAAATTAAGAATCATTGTATTGTAAAGCTCAGGAAATAAGTTGGAAGGTGGCTATAAATATGTGTATGTGTTGTCATATATAGGGAATGGTTTCAGCTGAGTGAGAGAATAAAGTGGTCAATAAGAAGATAATGCTTAGCCGGGCTTGGTGGCTCAGCCTGTAATCCCACGCCTTTGGGAGGCTGAGGTGAGCGGATTGCCTGAGCCCGCGGGTTCGAGACCCGCCTGGGCAGCAAGACCTCATCTCTACAATAAATCAAAAAATCAGCCGGGCGTGGTAGCGCATGCCTGTAATTCCAGCTACTTGGAAGGCTGAGGCGGAAGGATAGCCGGAGCCCAGCAGGTCGAGGCTGCGGTGGCCGGGAGCGGCCATTGCACTCCAGTCTGGGCGACAGAGTGAGACTCCAACTCAAAAAAAAAAAAAAAAAAAAGAAGATAATGCTTAATAATGAACTGTTTTCAATTTTCTTTTTAACTTATGTTAGGCAAAAATGTGACTTTCCTAAATTGTTAATTAAAATACTTGATTACTTGATCATTCAAAATTATTATCACTTTAATACTATAAATCAGTCTTTTCTTTGGAGTAGTCTGTTAGAATTCTGAATTAACAACAATTATCAATGATATCCAAGTATCCTAGAGTACAGAACTAGGTTATGTGATAAGAGTGAAATTGAAACCAAGACACTTCAGGTAATACCTGATTTGTTTCCACAAAGACACCTTTAGGTGCTTCATGACATTAGCAGTTTTGTAAAAACTGCTATACAACTCAAAATTAGTTCAGTCAAACAGATCTGATAGAAGTAAAAAGTAGTATAAAGGATATTAAACTTTAGGAAGAGTAGGGAGAAGAGAAGAAATAAGAAGAGATTTGCTAAGTTCTAATGTTCTACAGCAGTGTAGTATGACTATAGTTAACAATAATGTATTAAATAGTTTCAAATAGCTGGAAGGAGGATATTGAAGGTTTCCAACACAAAGAAATAATAAATGTTTGAGATGATGAATATGTGAATTACCCTGATTTGATCACTATACATTATATGCATCAAAACACCACTCTATACCCCATGAATATATATAATTATACATCAATTAAAAATAAAGTTTAAAGACAAGTTAATTATGAAATTAAGTATAATCTTGAGTACAGATTTACATTTTTTTCAACTCATTAAATTACCCCACAGAATTCCACAAAACAAAGAAATAAATATCCTAAATATTCAGGAGTATTATGAAAGGAGTTCTCACATTTGACCCTAGTAAAAATTGTAATTTTACTTTAAAATCAGGTCATTATTATCTACTTTTAAAATTTGGCTTAAAATTAAAATGATGCCCATTTCACTGTAATTTTGAAAGTAACCTAATAATCTGGATGCACTGGATGGCCATGGCAACACATGTAATTTTATTCCTTTTAAAATATATGTATTGGGCGGGATTGGCAGTAGTGGGAATCCCCCGGGGGGGGGCACACCTCATCAGCATGGGTTGATGCATAATGAACATTTGTATACCTAACCCTGAATTGTACCCCACATCTTTAAAACAATAAAGTAAAATACAATAAAAATATACGTATTTAGAAAGTACTGCAGGAAAGAACCGTCTTGGAAATCAGGAGAGGAGCACACACTGGGGAGATATGCCGGAAGGGAAGTCAGCCATGGAATTTCTTGTGCCTTAAGTCCTTATTTCTAAAATTAGACTATTTTACTATTGACCTGTAAGTGTATATGCTCCCTGCATCACAGAACTAATTAATTTAAATGTGGTTTTAGTTTCTGAAGAAGCCCACATTCTAAAGATTCCCACTGGACCAGACGCTCCTTCCAGGGATCTAATAACATACCATTTTAGGTGGTACTTCCACAATGTGCCTACTTTTATTTTCCTGTACCATTTATTGGGGCCACAAAACGTCTGTCTATCCTGCCCTTGCAAGGTGTCACAAGTTATGCTAGGATCCAACAGACTTCATCTTACTAGTGGCTAAAGTGAAGCAAGAGCTATAGTTGTGTAGTCAGAGGCTTGGGTTCAAATTGAGCATCTGTCATTCCTGGTTTTAACTTGGGGAAGTCACTTGATCGCCATGAAAAGTCAGAAGAAGATGACAAGTGACATCATGAGGTTCTGGTGAGGGTTAGGGAAGCCTGAGTCAGTAAGCAAGAGATCATAATCCATAAAGCACCTCCTTCAAGTCCACCCAAGCGAGAGTACCCGGGAGGAGGAACTGCAATGCCACCAGGGCCCCAAGCCGCAGGGTTGGGCACCTGTTCTGGGGACGCCAAAGGGCGGAGGAAGCAGCGGGAAGACAGGTTTTTGAGGCCCGCCTGGCAGATGGGCGGCGCCTGTCACCTTATGCTCACTCCTCGCATCCCAAGTAAAGCTTCACTCCCTCTAACGCGACCCGAACCCCACCGCATGATCCGAGCATTTCAGATCGCCCCTGCCACCCCGACTCTCAGCCCACCCTTATGACGTCGGGGTGGGGGAACCAGAAAGGCAGGGCGGATCCCGGGCCCCGCAGAGAGGACCCAGGCCAGGCTAGGAAGACGCTGCATCCCAACTCTCTCGGGCGCCCTCTGCTAGGAGACCTTCCGGCTGGGACCCCGCGCCAAGGCAGGCGAGGATGGGGGGCGCTCCCAAGCGGCCGAGGGGCGGTACCTCGTCGCAGTGCCGATGGTACTCCTCCATGGTGGCGCCGGCTCTCCCTGGGGGCGGAGCGACGCTCGGGTCGAGCTCCGCGGCCGCGCACTGGCCTCCGGGGAGGCCCCGCCCGGATTTATGGCCTGGGGCCTTTGCCCACGCAGTCCCCGCCTTTGAATCGCAGTGGCGTCACCTTCCTAGCAGCGCGGGGCGGGCTCTGGGCAACGCCAGGCGTCACTTCAGGCCAGGCGCCTCTTCCTTGCTTCCTCCAACCCTTCTGGAAACAAGGGAGGAATGTTAAAGTGCTGGGAATGGTGTCAGTGTGGATCGGATAGGGTGCCCTTGTGTCACCCAATCTGATCCGAACTATTGACTGAGTGGCAACTGCTGTGGTTATTATCACATATTTGTTCAAGCATCAAATAAGTGTAGTTAATGCATTGGTAAACAAGTCACTTTGTTTTGATCTACTTTCTAGGTATGTTACATGGAAAAATTCACCTCCCACTCCTTCAGTTTTCTATACGAAAACTTAAAACCATGTCTATTTCACGACTGGTTGTCGGGATTGCATGAGCTGCCTTATGCATAACTTTAGCTAGATGCTTCCACATCCCTCTTTCTCTATGACTATGTAGGAAGAAATAAGTGATTTATGGGAGAGAAGGAACACATATCTTAAATTATAAATCCCAGCAAAAGATCATTTAAAAATGCCCAAATTCCAGATGAGCCTAAAGATTTCCTCAAAACCTCACAATAATCCAGAAGGTTTGGCTCTTCCATCATCCCCTTTATCAAGATGAAATTGAGGTACAGAGAATTTCAGTAACTTGCCCGAGGTCATACGAGGTCTGACAGTTAAGCTCATTAATTCATCCTAGAAAAAGTGCTCCATAACTCATTGCTGAATATCACAATGGTCACCTTCGAAGTACTCCCCTTGGGAAGGTATGCACTAACACCAGTGCCTACTCTACCCATCAAAGCAATTTTGGAATTATTTTTCTGGAATGGTCATCAGAGCTGTCATATTACCCTTGATTTCCTAAATGTCTTCTTTTCAATATTTCCTTCATCTTCGAGTAAAGATAAAAGTCATTGGGGGCCAGATCAGGTGAGTAGGGAGGGTGTTCCAATACTTATATATTGGCTAAAAACTCCCTCACAGACAGTGTAGTGTAAGCTGGTGCATGGTTGTGGTGCAAGAGCTTTTTTGGGACCATTTTGCAAACGCCTTTCTCATGCCAAGATTTGCAGTTAAGATTTTCCTAATTATTTCTCTATCAATGTTTATTTGGTCTGCTATGCTTCTCATAGTCAGCCAACAATTTTGACACACAATTTGACATATTTTTGCAAAGTTTGTATCAGTTCTGATCGTTACGCCATCCTGACATCTCTTCATCAGTAACATTTTCCCTTCAGTAAAACGTTTCATCCATTTGTACACTGCTGTTTTCTTCATGGCATTATCCCCATAAACTTGGAATAACATGTCCCTGATTTTACTACCACTCTTGTCAAGTTTAACAAGATATTTAATGTTTGCTTATTGCTTTAATTCAAGCTTTGACATTATTGCAATGGCATACAAAAACATGCAACAATAATGAGCGCCACTCAGCAAGACATCGCCACACGTCAACATGAACACAACTGTGAGACACTGATATACCAAGGTTGTGAAACCTTACCAAGTTATTTGTACTGTGCTGCCAATGTAAGCGCACAGAGGCAAGTTTGTGAACTTAATTGTTAGACTTCATATATCCAGTAAGGGCTAGAAGACTTGAACTCAGTTTGATAACAGAGCCCAAGTTCTTAACCACTGCACAAGTTTCCTGTTGCTGCAATTACCACAAATTTAGTGGCTTAAGGAAAAATAACTTATTATCTTACAGTTCTGGGGGTCAGAAATCTAAGATGGGTCCATAGCACTGGTTGCCCTCTGGAAACCCTGAAGGATAATTGATTTCCTTCTAGGGACTCCTTGCTCTCCCTTGGCTCGTGACCCCTTCCTCCAGCTTCAAAACCAGCAGCTTCTTCCTTCCTCTCGGACCTCTGCTTCCATTCTCACATCTATACATGACTTTCACTCTCCTGTCTCCCTCCGAAAACCCCTAATTAATCACACCTTCCAAATGCCTTTTGGCATGTAAGGTACTATATTCATAGGTTCTGGGGATTCAGTTGTGGATATCTATGGGGGTGGGGTGGGCATTATTCAGCTTACCATAACACTTTTCTGTTTTGTTTCCCAAAAATCAAAGTTGCGAGTTTATTAGTATTCTAGTCCAACCCTCTTATTTTATAAGTAAAACTTCAGAGAGGTGAAGTAACCTGAACAGGGCATACGTGTTAACTGGAGCCCTGGGCTTCTATATCTCAGGCCCCTACATTCTCTGCTGTCATTTTATGAGCTTACACAGGACAAAGAGGGCTGTTTACTTGATAATATGCAGTTTATTATTGGTTCTCTTAAGTTGTGGGTCATGCAAGGTTACTGTAGAAAAGTTGTGATTGTAATTCATAGAGGAAACATATCCTCTTTCAATTTTTTTTATTTTCACCAAAGTTCTTATTCAACGAATAATTCCAACATGATTCTTATGAGGAGGATTAGTAATGCCTTTGTGAACACCAGTCTTATTTCCCTAAAGAACTGTTTCTATGTCTAGGAAGGTTAAACCCTAAAATTAGCTAATTTTTTTTTTTTTTGAGTTGTAGTCTCACTCTGTCACCCAGATTGGAGTGCTGTGGCCACTCCACTGCAGCCTCGACCTGCTGGGCTCTGGCGATCCTTCCACCTCAGCCTTCCTAGTAGCTGGAACTACAGGTGTGTGCTACCACGCCCAGCTAAATTTTTTTTTTTTTTTTTTTTTACTGTAGAGATGACATCTCACCAGGTTGCCCAGGCTGGTCTCGAACTCGCGGGCTCAGGCAATCCACTCACCTCAGATTAGCTAACTTGCCGGGCTCGGTGGCTCCCGGCAAGTTAGCTAATCTTAAAGCTGCAAGAGTACACTATCACATCTCAAGTATATGTTATGTGGTCACTCATGAAAATATAAAGTGAGGAGAAGTGTTGATCTAGTTATCATTCCTGGGTAATAAATTACCCCATAATTTATCAGCTTATTTATTTTATTGTATTATGCTCATGGATTATGTTGGTCAGAAATTTAAACAGTTAGGCCAGGCGCAGTGGCTCAAGCCTGTGATCCCAGCACTTTGGGAGGCCGAGGTGAGAGGATTGCCTGAGCTCAGGGGTTCGAGACCAGCCTGGGCAACTTGGCACGGCCTCATCTCTACAATAAATCCAAAAATTAGCTGGGGGTGGTAGCGCACACCTGTAGTTCTAGCTACTTGGAAGGCTGAGGTGGATCAACTGAACCCAGCAGGTTGAGGCTGTGGTGGCCGTGAGCGTGCCACTGCACTCCAGCCTGGGCGACAGACTGAGACTCCAACTCCAAAAAAAAGAAAGGAAGGAAGAAATTTAAACAGTTCACAACAGAGATAACTTATGTATCTCTGCTCCATGATGTCTGAAGCCTCGGTGGGGAAGACTCAGAGACTGGAAGGAACTCAACAGTGGAAACCAGAATCATCTGAAGACTTGTTCATTTTCATGTCTGGCATATGTAGAGAAGTAATAAAATAGAAAGAATGTTGAAACTAAATTTGTAAACATTTACAAATACAATTTATTCAAATGTTTTAATGAGACCCTCAATCTTGCTTTCATGAATATATCATTTTATATCTGGCTATGAGCTATTTCTATTCAAGAGTTTTTAAAAAAAATTTATTATAGACATGTGGAGTACAAGTGAGGATTAAGTACATAGTTAGGCTGCTTACAGGTGAAGTTTGGGTTTCAAACTGGCCTTCTGTCCCCTGGTAGTGGAACTGTTACCCTTTGTGTTGTCATGTGCCTACCAACCTCCTCCCTCCCTCCCTCCCTTAGCAGTGCCCAGAGACTCTTGATCTCTCCCTGTGTTCATGTGATTATTGTTCAGGACCCACATATGAGTGAGTACATGCGGTATTCAGTTCTTTGTTTCTGTGACAGATCACTTAGTATGATGGTCTCCAACTCCAACCAATTTGCTGCAAAATTCACAATTTCTTTCTTCTTTACAGCGATGTAACATTCTATTGTGTATATATACCATATTTTCTTTATCCAGTTCACTTTTGATGGGCAGCAGGGTTAGTTCCACGTTTTTGCTATTGTGAATAGTGCAGCAGTGGTGAAAAGGCAAACTAGTTCAACGTCTATGGAAAGCATTGTGGTGATTCCTAAAAGAACTAAAAATTGACCTTTCATATGATCCAGCAATCCCTCTCCTGGGAATATACCTGGAGGAACATAAATTCTTCTACCTATTCAAGAGTTTTTAATAATTATTTTCTCCAAAAAATTTTCCCACAGAAGTGTGTGAAAAAAAATCCATAAAAACATTTAGACTCAGTTTACAAACCATTTGAGTTATATTTAAAGACTTCTGTAATGGTGGACTAAGTAATTAGGACCATCTGTTTCACTGACAATTAGAAAGATTGGACAAAATATAATAAGCCTTAACTCAAAGAAATTGAAGTTTTAACAAGATGAGGAAGAATTGTGGATCTAAGACCTAGGAGAAGAATGAAACCTAGAAGGATGAGCATGGCATTTGGGTCAACTTTTAATGAAGATGCTAAGTTTTTTGCATATAGGCCAAAAGGTAAAAGAATCAGATTCCATGGCCTGCTAAGGAGGAGGATTCTAATAGGCATACATGCTTTGGGTTGAAACCCCATGGATTAAGCCCTGGGAATAAAACACCAAAACTTGGTCTCACAGAGACTGAAGCTCACTTTTAAATCACCTCAACCCCTGAAATTTAATTAAGGCGATCTGGAATTGCTAATGTCTCTACCCAACTTCCAGAAGCTAATGTAAATTCTCCCTGAAGGAAGAAAACATCATCTTAGACATATAATTTTTTACATACATCAAATGCACAGCAAAACATAATTAGCCACATAAAAGGATAAAACAGCATTATCAAAAATCAACAGAAAATGGAAACAGCCCAACCAGAGATCTAGATGGTGAAGTTATCAGAAATAGACTTTAAAATAACCATGCTTACTATATCCAAGGAGATAAAAGACAAGA